CCAGCTACCAGGGAGGCTGAGGCAGGACGATCGCTTGAGCCCAGGAGTTTGAAATCGCAGTGAGCTATGATGACGCCACGCCTGGGCAACAGAGCAAGACTCAGTCGCAGAAAAAAAAAAAAAAAAACCACCAACTAATCAATGGGTCTCAGTGGGGGAGTGCTGCCCCCTAGGGGTAGAATGGGGATATCGCAGGTGACTTACGTTGACACTGTAATGGGGACCGTTTTACATAAATAGTATTTTTCTATTTTTCCCCATAATTTTAATATCCACTGCAATTTCAAGGACTGCAACCACGGTGAGAGAAGACCGTATTTTGTTTAGACTGAGGGTTGTTTGCCACTTTTAAAATCCCCTCATCAACAGCAACCGTGCACAGGTGGCATTTAAGTCACCACGTGGTGGGTGTGGCTGCACTCTGTGGCCGCTGCATTAAAGAGGAGGCTACATATGGTCGTAAACAACCGCCACATTCATGACGTGTCCTGTGCTCAGCATTTCTATATTGAAATAAGTGTGCTTATAGATGCCATATTAATTTCCTTTCATTTTTCCTTTATATTACAGCTTGGGCAATATGGAGTTTGGGGGTGCCTGTGAATGAAGGGAGGTAATATTGTCTTAAATTTCACTGAGGCAGACAGGGTTAAAACCATTCCTTTAACCAGCCCCCGCTATAATACTAAGAGAATCTGAAAAACCCAGAGCCAACAGTCTCAGCATTCGTGCAAATTCCAGGCTGAAAGCTTTTTATCTTTGAGATCTCACTTGGGATGATGACTAAGACATTAGGCTTCAGAGGAAGTCAGATCTAGCATCAAATCCAGGCTCCGCCACTGGCCATCTGCAGGATAAGCTGCTCTGGTCTTACTGTCCTTACTTGTGAAACAGGCATCGGTAAGCATGCACAGTACCTGGCACACAGAAGCACTCAGCAAACGGTGATAATTACCAGGGCAAACTTGCTCTGTGCCTCTGAGCACGTAACTTACCCTCTTTGAACCTCAGTTTCCTCCTCTGAAAGATGGGAATAAAAATCCTGAATCCGGATATGGAGATAGGTCATCCCCTAGTGTTGGGCATTTACTGTTCTGAATCTTTGAAATCAAAACCAACCCTCAGCCAGAATAACTGCCCAGAAAGACAAACAGACAAAAAGTTGGGGAAAACACAGTCTCAAGTATCACCCCACAGATAACTTACTGATTCATTATAAAGGCGAAGCTGTACTTTTATTACGGAGAGAACTGAGGGTCACCCCTTTAACCACAGGATCCAACTTGGCGTCACTGATACTGGGACAAACTGACATCCCACGTCCCTTGATGTGAGACGCCGAGAAGGCCACAGTATCACTGCTGGGGTATTTCTGCCAAAATGCAAAACCTGATCCAATCTGCAAACAGCCAACAAGCCCAGAATGTGGGATGTTCTGCAAGAGATCTGTCCTGTTCTCCACAAATGTCCATGTCACTTAACACAAAGACAGGCTGAAGAA